AGAAGTATAGCCAAAAAAGCGTGTCCCTTAAGCCTCCACCATAAAGGAAATTTCACCTATGAGACTGATGTAATTCCAAAACTATAACCACCATTGTAGCATACTAATTGCTTTGTGGACCTTTGACCATCATACCACAGGAGCATGTTGGATATCACTTTCTAAAACCAAAACCAATACATAGAGTTGGTCCCTCTTTTGCATCTATAACAGACTCCACTCTTCTGGGAAGGCTTTTCACAACATTTTGTAGCGTGTCTGTGGAAATTTGTGCCCATTAAGGTGATTGTGAGGTCAAGTACTGATGTTGAACAAGAATACTGGTGGTCAGTATTTAATTTTATCTCAATGTTGTTCAATAGAGTTGAGGTTGGGGCTTTATACAAACCTCTGTAGTCTCTCCACACAAAACTCATCAATTTATGCACAGGAGCCCACACTTTCTGAATTGAAAAGGGTCTTCCCCAAAATGATGGAACGCTATTGGAAGCTCTATTTGTAGTGTTAACAGTACCCTGACTGGAAACACTTGAAATCAACAATTCGGAGGGATGTTCACTTACGTTTGTCAATATAGTGTAGTTGTGATGGTCAGGTATCCATCAATATTAGGCCATACAGTATAGCATATATACATGCTACATTTTGTGTAAATCATTGGCCAAAGTGGATACCTTTTGGTTTTGAGCTCCATAACAAGCACATTGTCCTTTATTGAATTAAGTTACTGCCTTTAATATAAGTCTTTGCCTATACTCGACTGTATGTAAACACTTGTAGATAAATAAGGAAAAAAAAGAATCGTGCAATATTGCAGTTTCCCCAGAAGAGAACACAGTTAATGTACTCTGTCCTGGGAATGAATCACTGAAATCATAGGCACATATTAAAGTGATGGAGAAAATAATCGAAAAGGAGTATATTCAGTGAAATGTATTCATAGGAAATTCAAAAGACATTATTTCAGAAAAATACATGCCAAGCCCCCTAATTATTTTGCTGTTCTCTGGTTAATATGGCTGTAAAACAGTAAAATAACAGTCTCAATTCTAAGCCAGGTGCTCAGCCTTACATTGCCTGCTGGAATAAGAAATGGCTGCCCGTAACCCATTAGTCACTGAAAGCTGTATTTATTTTAATATAACTTACTTCTGTCTCTTCTCACCTGAGAAATCTGCCTCTAGTTTTATCATTTGGAGAATTATTGATGTAAAAACGATGCAGACAAGACACTAATTAGCTACTCTTTGTACAAGTAGAGGCAACCAGAGATGTGAGCCTTACAGGAACTTAATGGGACTGATTCATCCAGCTGCCATAGTGCTTATGGCATGCCAAAATGGCCTTTCAAACTATGTTATCATATGTGAAAATAGAGCTTGATTTACCAAAGATAGAAAAGAATTTGCCTTTGTTAAAACTGAAGATATTACCACAGAAAAGTTTAAAGCCTTATGTAAAGTGTAAACCGGCATTCAGATGTTTTTAACCCCTTGCTGCCACCTCCCAGCAGCCTTTTAAGTGCGTGTTGATGCAAGTAGGTGGAGGCAGCTTCCACATGATCGCTGTGATTGACAGTCACAGTGGTCACATGGCCAGAAGTGCATCCAACTGTTTCATGATCACAAACAAAAACTGGTACCTAACAGTGATAGCTAGTTCAGTGTGTTGGAATTGCAAAGCCATCCTGCCCACATTGGGAAGAAGTTAAAGTGCTCTTTCAAAGCACAAAGTACAAAATCCATATAGGAATGAATGGAGAGTGCAGCAACCAAGGGCCTCCAAGGTAGATTGGGACATGTATCAATGTGATGTCAATGAAATACACATCTGAAATCTCACTAGATCTGAGGCAGGTGAGCATAACACTGATAGGGTTGGTGGTAAGTAGAATAGAGTGCAGTTATATGTTAACACATGCAAATTTTGCTTTCAAGTGAAGAAGCTGTACATGAGCTTTAAAATAAGTTCTGGTTGGTCTCTGTAGCTGCAGGCAATGTGGATTAAATAATCCTTAAATCATAGGTATACCCAAAATGTTTTATCTTAATTTTGGATAGATTAGGTTAGAGTTAAAAGCCATGTTGGTATTTTTCTGCTGTTTGCTGTTGGTGAAATTACCCTTCACTTTCTGCCCTGAAGACTGAAAAGGAAGAGAGAGAGGAATGTTTTACAAAGTAAGGGGAATTCCTCTCTTAGGCAGATGTCACCAGATCTGGTGTCCCATTGGAAAATGTACCCTTCTCTCTTGTTCTTGTAATAACACAGTCAGCAATATAAACCTGACAGGAGTTAAAATCCTTGACCACTCTATCCTAAACTTAAAAAATATATTATACAATCAAGTTAGGCAGATGTAGTCAAATTCTGATCTCTTGGACGCTCAGTTCCCGCTGTTTCCCCTTCCAGGAATATTGCTTTGTGTTGAGATATTAAAAGGCTGGAAGACTGCTGAGTCATTGCGGAGAGAGTTAGCAGAGTGTGGGGGCTGATCTGCTGAGAGACCAACTTCACTGCTCCTGCTTTAAAATTTGAGGATGAAATGCAACACAGTGCCTGTAGCTCCATAGTACAGTGAGGGGTTGTTTAGAGCTCATTTACTGTGTGTTAAAAGTATGTAAATACTTGAAAATCTATAATCCGGCCACTACAGCTCACTTTAAAACTACTTTTGCATTCAACTGGCATCAAAAAGTTGAAACAATATTTTTTATATCTTTTATTTAAAGGAAAATAGCTGGATTCTGTCACATGAATTTTTAATCCCCTACTAGTCTCAATCCCCAGCAAGGGAATATAGGCAGAGCTTGAGCAAATATTATTTTCCCCTAATTGTATTTGGTGAGTAAAAAATACACTTCTTTTCTTAATAAATAACATGACATGCATTGTACGACCACCACACCGGAAATTGAAGCGTATGTGCTTAAATCTAGATCCACACTTAAAAAGAATCTTCACCCTAGAAAGAAGAAATTAGAAGACAGCATCTACAAATACTATAGCTGTTGACTTTTAATAAAAGGATACTTACCTGTTCTGGGATCCAGGATAATTCTCCATCAGTCCTTGGATCCCCTGTTCTGATATTGTTTACTGTGCAAAGCCGGCTGTGACTCCTTGCAGTTTCACAGCTGGCTTCCCACTGTACATGCACTTTGTGAAAGGTCCTGCAGCCTCCTGGGACCTGTGAGGGAGGTGGGGCAGACATCCACTTGGATCACCTAGGCAATCAGAGCAGAAGTGAGAGTGGGTATCTGGGTACCCAATTACCCCCCAAAAATATATTGTGCCAAATGTAGAAGAGGAGGACATAAATCAGAACTTCCCCTTGGTGAAATTCTGCTTTAGCATAAATGTGTGTGTTTGTATGATTTTGGGGCCTATTTTGTGAGCTTTTGCATGTTTTTCTAATATTTTCAAGTTTTAAAGTGTTTGCTTTAAAAATGGAAAGGTAGTTACCAGGAGGATGTAAAGCATGAAAAAAATCCTACTGAACTCTATCAGGTCCCACAATAGTGCGATCATGCCCCAAAAAAGCTTCTGTGCATTTTATAAACAAGACAACACATTGCTCAAATGTGACCAAGCACAATAGAATAACATGAAAACATGGGGGATATTTACTAAAAACTGGTGTACACAGAATCTGGTTCAGCTGTGCATAGTAACCAATCATCTTCCAGGTTTTATTGGCAAAGCTTAATTTAACAAGCTGAAGTTAGGATCTGACTGGTTACTATGCACAGCTGCACCAGATTCTGTGTGCTCCAGTTTTAGTAAATATCCCCCACAGTTTCAAGCATTGAAACGCTTCTGAAAAACACTCTTCGGTAGTGAATGGGGGCTTAGGGTTTTCAGAATTGTGATATGAAGACATTTTCTTAAATTGTATGAAGCAGTATAATGAACGTTTGGGGATGGGGGGGGATTGGTCAATGAACGTGAACTTGTACTCTGTTTTGAGAAATCATGTATGCGAGTGATAGATCAGAAAAGAAAAAAGAATAAGAAGTAAATCCAAACTTCTCCACTCATTGTCTGATCTTTAGTGAACGGAGTCCATAGACTCTGACAGAAGGTATTGTATGTGTTCCCCGTCTCTTTTCATGCAGAAAATTGTAAGACTGTTGAAATAAAGAGCTACTCCAGAAAAGAAATAAAATCAATCAATTAAGTGCTAATTCTATTCAGGATAGTCAGCAAGTCCACCTAATTTAACTTTAATCTGTGTTTTATATAATACATTGTAGCAGAGGTGTAACTCAAGGCCAAAGCATGAGCTTGTTTTATCCAAAAAAAAAACCTCAGACCTTTTGTCCTGCGCTATTATTATTCTGGATTAACAAGCAAATCAAGGCAACAAGTGAAACCACACAGTACCCTGTTACTGGTCTATACTGGAAAGTGCACATTACTTAACATAATCAAACACATTTGTTTTCTACACAGAGTTCCCAATATTGGTAGTTTTTGGTGGCCAAAAACAAGTCACGAAGGACATCATTTATGAATTCCTGAAAAACTGCGGGCGCGTTACACAACCCGAAGGGCATCACCAGGTATTCGTAGTAACCGCTTCTGGTGTTAAACGCAGTCTTCCACTCATCCCCCCTGTTTGATCTGTACGAGGTTGTACGCCGCCCTAAGGTCAAGTTTGGTAAAGACTGTTGCCCCCCTTAAGGCGGTTCGAACAACTCAGTAATCAAGGGAATCGGGTAGGCATTCTTAGTGGTGATTCGATTGAGACCCCTATAATCAATGCAGGGCCTCAATTCACCACCCTTCTTCTTTACAAAGAAAAAGCCCGCTCCAGCTGGGGAAGTAGACTTACGAATGTGCCCCCGGGAAAGCGCATCCGCAACGTACTCCTCCATGGCCTTATTCTCCGCAACCGAGAGAGGATACACCCTGCCACGTGGAGGAGTGGCACCGGGTTGCAAGGATATGGCGCAGTCGTAAGGACGATGAGCAGGTAAGGCACCAGCGCGTACCTTATCAAACACGTCCTGGTACTCCCCATAATCAGTGGGCAACGCAGAGTCCGAGGAGGCACACAACACCTTAACCTCCCTGGCGGTATTCCCGAGTGTAGCTCGGGGTAACATTTCAGTACCAAAAGCGGTAACCCCGAGCTACACTCGGGAATACCATGCGGCGCTGCTCCGGCATGTGTTCTTCACTTACCTTACCCTGCGCTCCCACGATGTGTCCCCTGCAGCGTCCCCGGCCATCTCCTCCGGCCGATGCCGGCATCCGGCTTCTGTGTCCTGTCCCTGTGACGTCGGGACGTACGGGAAATTTAAAAATTTTAAAAAATGTCATTTTTTTTTTTTTTCATTTTTTTACACAGTAAAACATTGCTGTTTCAACCTATTTCACATACATATTGTCCCTAGTGCTTTGTCCTGCGCCCTGCCTGCATTTTGTCTGTTCTTTCTGCCTGGAACTGAGAAATGTCCATGGCGTCCAAAAAGTGTCCCTTTAGGTCAAAATCGGTTTAGATCAGCTAGAGAACAGCGATAGTAAATCAGAACCACTTGCAGAATTGAGTGATAATGATTCGTGGGGAAATTCGTCATCAGAAACTGAAAACGATTTTGCGACTGAGCTCAGCAATGTGCGAACTTGGCGCTCTATTTCACATTTCAGTGTTTTTGGTTTGATTATATTATTGAATTAAATTTTTTATTATTTTTATATTATTTTTATGATTATTTATTAAATTATAATTTATGATTTTGTGTTTCAAATTTTATCATACCCGGGATGTTTTACTAGACTCTTGTTCGGACAGATTTCAGTGAGTTTTTCCTAAAAATTACAGCCTACAATAAAAAAAATACATATTTCCATGCAAAAAAATGGTACCCACTCCCCGACCTCCCCCCGTGCTTTCAGCACCAAAAATCTGAAATAATCATACCGCCAGGGAGGTTAACCGGCCCACGGATGCACCCCCGGCCCCACACTGTGGAGACCACGAGAGAATCTCGGCAGTTTTGCCAATTGAAGGTTGGATTGTGCATCTGGAGCCAGGGATACCCCAAAACCACCGAATAGTGCGGAGAAGAAATCACCTGGAAACAGGCCAACTCCCTGTGAACAGCCCCAATAGCTACTTCAACTGGCATAGTCTCGTGGGTAACTTGCGGTGGTTGCAGGGGCCTGCCATCTATCGCCTCGAGAACCAATGGGGTAACTCGAGCCTGCAGGGGAATGGAGTGCTGGGCAGCAAACGAGCTGTCCATAAACAACCCGCCGGCCCCAGAATCTACCAATGCCTGGGCCGTCACCGAGCCCTCCGCCCAAGAGAGGACAACGGTGATCAGTGGCTTATCTCTGCGGAACGCCGGGGACGAGGAGACTCCACCCAAGGTCTGTCCCCGACAGGATCTCAGGTGCGAGCGTTTCCCGGACGGACCAGACAGGACCGCCGAAAGTGCCCACCAAGACCACAGTACAGGCAGCGACCCTCCTGACGCCGAGCGGGCCCGCTCTCCCTCGGAAAGGTGAGCAAACCCCAGCTGCATGGGCTCACCACCAGACAAGCTATCCCCAGGAGGCGTGGGAGGAGAGGGAGGAATGGGTGGGACAGAAAACGCAGGTGCCAGTCGATTGGAAGGCCTCCGCAGGCGTTCCTTGAGTGAAGGCCTCTCCCTGAGCCTGGTATCAATCAGGATCAGGAAGGAAATTAGTGCTTCCAGCTCCACAGGCAATTCCTTGGCTGCGATCTCGTCCTTCAATGCATCAGAAAGACCCTGAGAAAACGCAGCCACCAGAGCCTCATTGTTCCAACCCACCTCTGCTGCCAGGGTAAGAAACTCTATGGCGTACTCGGCCACGGTCCGTGAACCCTGATGCATAGACATGAGCAGCTTGGCAGCCGAGGCGGAGTACGTCGAATACCCTACGGAAGGCATCGACAAAACCGGAAAACTTGTGAATCACTGGGTCATTCCTCTCCCATAAGGGATTCGCCCAGGCCAAGGCCTTGTCTGAGAGTAGCGATATTAGGAAACCCACCTTTGACCTCTCAGTCGGAACAAAAGCGTGGGGTATTAATTCGAAGTAAATCCCCACCTGGTTGAGGAAACCACGACACTGACTTGGCTCACCCCCAAAGCGCTGTGGAAGAGGGGCTGAACCAGTCATACCTCTGGGCGCCGCGGGTACCGCAGCAGCCGCGGCGGTAGGCGCAACCAGCGGAACAGCAGCGGGAGCGACCACCGGAGTGACAACCGGCCTAATAACACCAGGAGTAAGGTGCGCGGTGCGTGCCAACAGAGTTTGCAACGCCTGAGCAAACTGATCCAACAGGAGATCCTGTTGATCCAGTCTGGCGACCAACATTGGAAGTGAAGGCGTACCTGCACCGTCAGGATTCATGGCACTTGTGTAATGTCAGGGCAGGGCTGTGGAACGGACAGGTAGGCCTAGTGGCAGGGTAACGCACTGGCTGACGACAACCACCACCAACAGACCGAAGTCCCTCAGGCGCGAGTCTAAGTCCCAGGCTGCCCTTCACCAGGGCCCCTGATGGTGGGGGACTTGACGCAGCCAGGAACCAGGTCGCGGCCCCTGAGACACCCCGGCTGCGGTAATGGCCGCCGCCAATGGCGTGTAGCTGGTGAGAATGACAATAGCGTAGTCAGGCAAGCCGGGTCAACAACAACGGGACAAAACAGTACAGAACAGTAGACAGAGAATCACAGGTCACGGGCGGGTTCAGCAACGGAAGGTCAGATCGAAGGAAAACACAGAGAATGGTCTAGTCACAAGCCGAGTCAAATACCAGAAGAGTCACGAGCGTATACACAGAGCTGTAGCAAGACAAAGACACAAGACACAAGTGCAAAGAGCATGTGCGGATCACAGGCTTATATGTACTCAGCCACACCCCTCTGGGGGATGGACCTCAGAGACCTGAAGGCATAAAAGCTTCCCACCATGCTCAGCATAAATCCAAGATGGATGCCAGCACATGGAGTAACATAACCTCTGGGAAAAGGTAGGTCCTTGACAAGGGGCTCTCCCTCCTCATTGGCTTAGACAGCAGTGGGAGCCAATGGCAATCACAATCAGTGAGCCATCGAGGAGAGAGGGGGGGGTGGTCTAGTCGTGGCTTTTGTGTGGATACGTAGAGCAAGGGCTTGGGAGCAGACCAGGAGAGCCAGCAAGGGACCTGAGAAGAGGAGGATCGGGAATGCCCTGTGCAAAACCACTGCACTGAGCAGTTAAGTATAACATATGTGTTTTTTAATTGCCTTTAATAGCACTTTAAGTATCAAGTTTTTGTGTGTATAAGGCAAAACCAGTGTATTTGTGTAATGTGGGAATACCTTTGCAAATGTAGATAGGAAAAATAGGTTTCTGTATTAGCCATAAAATGGAGTGGGGTGGACTGGTGCACTACATTTATGTGCTCCCTGTATTTTTCCCTTTGTAGCTACATAAGAGGCATTTACTATGTTATCTGTTGTGCAAGTTAGTGGTGAAAATTATTTATAACAATAAAATAACAGGTTGCCAGCAAAGGGTTTTAAACGTTTCCAAAATGGCATTAAAATTTGCCTTTACTGGATGGGGGAAGGAGGAAATGGGTGGGGGAAGCTTCTGAAAGGAGTTGGCTAAGAAAGACTTAAAGTAGACACCCTATAAATTCATCAAATCAATTCCTGTTTGTCCAGTGCCTAGAAGATGGTGCAAAGAGAGGTTGGAGCACATTCCACTTGCTTTTCTCTCTACCTAAGAGGCCTGAGAAGAGTTGACTGCTATATTGTAAGTGCCACATGGTTTCTGCAAAGACCTTGTGCTACAGGGGCTATCTCTTAGATTTATAGAACAACATTTCCTTGCTGTTGTATGTACAGCTACCTGTTCATCTCATTAGGAAAGTGGTATAGACTGCATTGCATAAAAGGACACAGGAGGGCACAAACACCTAGTTACTCCAAGATTTAGTAATACAGTAATACAAAAGCCAAATCAATACAAAAGAAGAAAATTTCAATCATTGTCTCTTATTGGATTCAGATCCAGTGTGGCATCACGTGACCTGACTGGTACACTACAGTATCTGCAAGCAGATGCATTTCAAGAGGTGTACCCCCTTCTACAGAACATTTGTACCCTGCTGTGTGCTTTTTTACAGTTGTTTATTGGATTCCCCTATCTCAGAAGGGCTTCACCATTGATGAGTTCCACTAGAAGCCCTCATGCACACTTCACATTTTTACAGCTGCTGTTTTTGGAGTTTGAAATTTTTTTTTCGACAGTCAACAAACTCCTCAGCATGTTATCCTATGTGTCCATGCACTCATAGGCTGTAATCAACGTTTTTTTGGCTGGGACATTTTTTGGCAGGAAAATAAAAACGAAACTAGTGGGTTTCTAGAGAAGCTTTTTAGCTGTAAATGCGCTCTAATGCTGGAAAACTCTGAAAAATTTTGAAAAATGCGTAAAAGACCCGCAAATTGGCATTTATGCACTTTTTTACCCAAAAAAACGCTACAAAATGCAAATGCGGGAAACGCCGCTAATCGCGGCTAAACGCTAATGCAAAAACACAAAAAATTGCTGAAAAACTCACGTTTTTAATGTGACTTTACACAGCTAACGTTACCAGCGTTATCAAAACGTCCAGTGTGCATGAGGGCGAAGAGTATCCAGCAACTTGATCGAGTGACAGTCCTCTGAGCGCTAGGGGTGTTGGTTTGTTTGAGACCAGAGGCGGACTGACCATTTGGAAACTCGGCACTGCCCGAGGGGCCCGGGGTCAGTAGGGGGCCCCATGAGATGCCCCTGGTACCTTTTTCATAGGCTTTTTTTGAGTTTGGGCAAGGACACAGGGGCCCCATGATCCCCTATTGCCCAGAGGCCCCATGAGTTGTCAGTCCGCCCCTGTTTGAGACTGCATTGCACAGCCAAGGAAAGACTGTTCAGATATATACAGAGGATACATACAGACAATTGCTTTGTAGCCATGTCTTCTGGATAAAGTAAACTGTCTAAGAAGAATCTTTCTCCAAGGTGGATCAGCTTAAAGGGACTGCACACTTGTTGTGTCTTTCACAGTGTAGTCTATTAACTTAATTATACATCTGTTGTTACTTTGTTTGCTTTGGAAAGGAGTTTGTTTACTACTCAGCTATTCAGGGGCCCACAGACCTTTGGCCTCACCAACGGACAAGTTTGTAATTTATATATACAATCAGCTTAGCTAGATAGGGGAAAGTGAACTGCTATAAAACATTTGTTGATCTTCTCAAGCCAATCTTCTCAGACAATATTGTGTCTCCACTTTTGATTATTGAACTTGGTGCTTTGTTTGCATTAGCCATTCTCCCCTTTCTTTCAGCTCACAGTGGCCACAGAACAAATTTGCATATTATTTACAATTGTTTGTCTTAGTGGGATTGCCAGGGTGTCATCAGAGTCAAGTAGAAGCTGTACCTTCATACTTATCAAAGCCAATAGCTATGGGTGTGCTACTCCTGTATGCATCCCAAGGTTCCCTGGGCAACCAGAAAGCAACTTTGACATTAACTGCTTTCCCGCCACCCTATAGCACAAATACTGCTACAGAGTAGCAGGGGCAGAATGACCATTTGGAAACTCGGGCACTGCACGAGGGCCCGTGGTCAGTAGGGGGCCCCATGAGATGCCCCTGGTACCTTTTTCATAGGCATTTTTGAGTTTGGGCAAGGACACAGGGGCCCCATGATCCCCTATTGCCCGGGGGGCCCCATGAGTTGTCAGTCCACCCCTGGGCAGGAGTGTGCAAAATCATGTATATACACGTTAAATTTGCATTTACGGGTAGGGTAGGTTGGCGGCCTCACCTGTTGATTACTGGGACGGTGATTCCCCGCCAACACTCGGCGATCACCATGTATCACTGACGGGGGAGAAACCTATATGTAAACAATACAGATCTCTTCCCTGTGAACTCCTGCACATTGCTTTGTATTGCTCTGCATAGCAAAGCAATGTGCTTACACGGTAAAGCACACACACAGCACACAGTAAAACACGACACAGGATAGAGTTAACCCTTTGATCGCCCCAGATGTTATCCCCTTCCTGCCCAGTGTCATTAGTACAGTGTCAGTGCTTTTTATTGACACTGAACACTGTATTGGCGTCACTGGGGATGTCAGTGACAGCTAGTTTCCCCCCCCCCCCAGTGTCAGAATGCCTGCCACAGTTCTGCAGTCCAGCAGTCCCACTACAAGTCGCTGATCGCCACCATTACTAGTATAGTAAACAAAACAAGACAAAAAATTCCAGTATATATACCGCCATTTGTACATGCTATAACTTTCATGTAAACCAAATAATTTGCACTTATTGGGTTTTTTTTTTAGCAAAGACATGTAGCAGAATACATTTTGGGCTAAATTTATGATGCAATTTGATTTTTAAAATTTTTTTACTAGACAAGTTTAATAGCAAAAAGTCCAAAATATTGTTTTTTTCTCAAAATTGTTGGCTGTTTTTTTATAGCTCAAAAAATTAAAAATGCAAAGGCGAGCATATACCATTAAAATAAATCTCTATTTGTAGGGAAAAAAAGGATATACATTTTATTTGGGTGCAGTGTTGCTTGACCGCGCAATTGTCAGTTAAAGTAACACAGAACAGTATGGCAAAAAAAACGGCCTGGTCAGGAACGGGGGGTAAATCCTCTGGAGGGCAAGTAGTGAACAAATGTAGGGTGGTAAGATGTTAGTTACATTTTTATGACCTAACCCTTCTCTCTAAAAATTAAACCACATCTTATATATGATAAATATGATATATAATAAAGGGTTGGCTTCTACATGCAGAGCATCTGTGCAAGATAATACAAGCAAATGCTAACATTATCAGCTATGATAATGGTGATACCAAACAAGCTATCAGACCAGTCAGGCAAGGTGGGGTACTACTACACCATTCTATGAAAGGGACATCTCAGCTACAATTTTGATTATGGATGGTAGTTATCCAATTCTACAAGGCCGGATTTTTAGAGTAGAATCCATTTTTAAGCTTCATAGGAGTGTCAAAATCTAATAAAAAGAAAGGCATGGAAATGAATCCCTATGTACACAAACAGACCCTAAAAGTGTGTATTTCTTTCAACTCTACATTGGATAAATGATTTTTATTCCCTCTGTAAATAACTCCAGCTTTGAGCAGTTCTTGGAATTGGAGTGTGTTAAAACAAAATGAAAACAAACAATGCAGGGTGTTAGACTGATTCTTTAACATGACTACACTCTTTCTATTAGCTGCAATGAACATTAGTTTTGACTTTCTGCAAAGGCAGAACAAATAGACGCTTATTCTGAGCATGCCAGCCTGTACGTGCCTTGCATCTGTTAATATCAAAAGAAGCAAATGAAAGCAGTGGAATATATGCATTACATTATATGAGTGATGTAACTAGGGGAGGGCAACTGGGGCAGCTGCTAAATACATGGGAAAAGGAGTAATATCATACTGAGAATAAAATAAAAAAAAATATATATATATATATATATAAATATATATATATTTCAAAGGCATTTGAGTTTTGTGTCCGAGCCTGACAAGTGAATATATGTTTCTTACAATTATATTCTTTAACCAGATTTTCCATTGTCCTGAAAAACATAGCAGGAGGGATATGACGTTATGAAAATAGATGCAAAATGGAAGAAATTGACTGTGAACTAACTGTTTACCTTTTTTAAATTGTTTTGGTAGAGGAAGGATGGGGGTATTTCAAACTCTATACCTAGGGCATTAAATCTCTAGATAGAAACAATAAAGATAAAAAATAAATGAACCAAATCATTTAGCTACTGGAAACCAGTTTAATGAATATGTCTCGTAGTCCCTGAATACATAGTTAAGCAAAGAAAACACTGACACCTTTTTGTTGGGGCCTGAGGGCAACACCAAAGGGCTGCATGCTCCATCCAGTCACAAGTTGGACACCACGGCATTGGATAGATAAACAGATAGACATTGGATAGATAGATAGATAGATAGATAGATAGATAGATAGATAGATAGATACGAACATATTTACATACAGTACATAAAATTAAAAACAGGTTCCCCTCTCCCATAGATAGTTTGTCCTGTCCATGCCTGTTCAAGTCTTCGATTACAGCTTACTTTGCGTCAGAGAACAGGTAATCACAGAAGCTAAAGGCAACCGCCTGCCATTTCAAGTAACTCATGTTCTGACTTCTCCAAACACGGCTCTGATATCTTGCAAAAATGTTCAACAGCTTTTGATGTCTCTTGGGTCAATTTGTTTGCAGATGTTACAAACAAGTTTTCAAAGGAGTTGCCCCCAGTCCCCTTGCAGTGAGAGCTGCAGAAACAGGAGAGATGAGAGAGTTCTTGAAAGGATACTGTAGCTACATCACCGGAGGGCCTTCATTGCTATGCAAATATAGAGAATGTCTGCAAGAAAATGACTAGCACACTTGATGACATTCCCAGCTTCCGAAGGTAATTAACAAAGAGAGAGAGAAAGGGGTTAATGAAGACATTTCTGATGCGTCATTTTGGCTGATGATGTAAAAATTATCCATTAAACTGCAGTGTACCCATTTACAACAAATAAATTATATATAAGGCCTACCCGAACCTGTGGTCAAAAGATCTGAAATATAAATCCATGTAGTCACATAGTACAATCATGCTGCATACACAGTACAAGAAATTCAGATAACACAAGCATACATAGCCAGTACTTTCAGGATCCAAGACCAAGCTGGTCCTGGCAAATAATGTTGGCACATAGCACAACAGCCATGTATCCAATGTATGCATTAGTTTGGGTCACTTAATCTATGACTAATGTATTGGTTATGGGTACATTCACATTCTTCTTACTGCCTGACCGTTCTCCAACATGACACAGTGCCACCCATCTTGCTGCCATTTTAGTAGATACTCAATACCTGTCTGAAGAGTTTCATAATAACCCCCCCCCCCCAGACAATATTCAAGTATTCGGCCAAGAAGAACTGAAGCAACTCCTGCTATGTGCTGATTATGATCACCCAAACTCCTATGCTATTGTTAGCTGAAAGATGCATTTTTCTTCTTTAAACAAGTTTTGGGAAGAAAAGATACAGTAGGTGATAAACCAGGGGGAAAAAATCTACATATGCTGGGCAAAAGATTATAATATGCTTGATATATTGTCTAATAAAACTTCCAAAGGGTTCATAGCTTAAAGTATATGTGTTTTTTAATAGAATATTACAGAACAATAACATTTAAAGGATGGACAGAAAGTGAAAAGTGTAATGTTCCTTAAATCAGTGGTCAGTGGGAAGAAAGTCTCTTTATATTGGTGGTCATTGGGAAGAATGTCCTGACATCATTGGTTAGTGGGAAGATATTGTTCTTGTAATCATTTATGCCAGTGATATTAGAGCTATAGCCCTTAGGCTTTATATATCAAAAATTAGCAAGCACCATTATAGTACATGAATGTGATCAGGCAGGATAGGCTAAAATGTGGAAACACAAACAAGGCAGATTTTTCTCTACACTAGAAATTCAAATGTGTCATCTCAGAGAAAGAGAACAAAAAATCGACCTGCAGCTCTGTGAACAGACTGAAGAAGGAAAGGCATAGACACATGGCAGATGTGCATTAAATACTGTATAAAAGCATATTGTCCCAGAGACACTTTGGAAAAATATTGATCAGCAGCAATGTGGTAGTTTAACAAGTCCAGGCAGAGGACTCCACATTGTGCAGACACAAACAAGGCATATGAGCTTTCAACAATACAAATTGTAGTGCAGTGTTATGAATACACTTAAGCTACTGAAAAGGCCAAAATGTGTAAATAAAAAGCCTTTTTTTGTGTTTTTTTTTATTAGCAATTCCATCCAAATTTTT